GAGCCACCATATGCTACTGGGCTAAAGGTTGCCTTATTCTCATCTTCAGACCAGAAATTGACATTCAAAATGACCACGTCATGTGCCGAGGCCACGGGCAGGGGAGACAGGGGGCAAGAGTCCAGTGTCTGGAGCCCCGGGCCCAGCACACTGGCCACCAACACAGGCTCCTCCTTTTTGGTGGAAAAAACCTCAGCAGGCGTGTGGGGTCCTGTGCGCTGAGGGTGGACACTGAGACACTGGTGGGATTGAAACTTTCTTCAGGTCCTTTTTGCCTGACAAAGTGCCAAGAGGATCTGTTTTTCATCTTTAAAGATGCTATCATTTCATTATTGTTCAGTCATTCAGTCGTATCCGACTCTTTTCGACCCCAATAGTCAATGTTAATTTGTGCACTGAGATTTCTTTACTTTTTTATGATGATAAGAATAGCAAAGTACACTGGTTTAAAAGAAATCAAGCAGCAGAAATGACTGAAAAGACAGATGGTTCTCCAGCTGCCTCCCGGCTCGGAGAGGAGCTCGGAGGAGGAGCCCCGAGACTGAGTCCTGGGGCTCGCGCCACAGCATGTGCCTCTGTTTCTTCACTTAAATTTCATTCAGTTCTCCGGCAGATTTCCACTGAGTACCCACCGTGTCCCAGGCACTGTTTGAGATTTCTGGTCCTCAGTGTGAGACAGATCACACCCCACTCTCAGCAGCGGGACCTGTCCAGTCCTCGCAGCGAGTGATGAGGGATTTAGTCAGCTTACACGCCTCCCATCTTCTGTCCATTGCTGTCATTAAGTTTTGTTAGTTATACCGTTATTTTTAGTTATTTTACTTTTGCCTTAAAACCTTAATATTCTCAACTTACCACTTTTTGTTGGATCAACTTAGACAGAAATCTCTTGACCTCCATTATGTAAAAAATTTGGGTTTAGGATGTTCATGTTCTATTCATATTGCAATTAAATTCTCCATGTTTCTTTTATAAGTTGATTATAAATATTAAAGGTCCAGAAATAGAATTCACAGTAAAATTTTAAAAAGTTTTTTTGTTCCTGTAAGTACCACAGAGGAGAAACTAGAAATCTAAGCCATTAAATCTTTGCTGCTTGGAGAAGGAAGTTTTAGGTACCTTGTGAAGCGATTGTGGGAAATCATGCCCCCTGTTAATTTGATTTACATTTGGATCACAGTTACCTTGCACAGCATTTTTTATTGAAAATCTTAATTGTATTTTTTTTTTGAGAAAAGAAACATTCCTTCCTCAATACCCAGAACTTCCAGCTCCTTAATTATATTCTTTGTTGAACAAGTTCTATTTTCTTCTTGAAAGATGTCCTATGTTAATTTTGACCAATTTCTTTCCAGGCCATCTATAAAGGTGTTATCCTGGCAATTATTTTCTCTGCATAACTGGTCTGTTTTTCCTTTTTCTTAAAAAAAGGAATCTTCATTAGGTTCCTTCTTGTTTTGCTGGACTACATCCTCAAGTAATCTTTTCACAAAGGATGAGTGGAAATTAAGTTTTCTGAAATCTTGCCTATCATGAGGTTACCATAATCTTTGTCTTCATTCTTTGTAGGAGTCAGCATACCACTAGAAAACAAATATGTGAAGCCAGGATTAGTAAAGGGGGTGTTTACAGAAGTGTAGGCAGAGATTAAGGAAAGCAATAAGGAGGTTAAAAATAGCTTGAGTTAACAAGTTCTTGCAAATAGTGTGACTTTTTTCAGCCTTTTCTGTGTGAGTGCAGGGGCTGAGGGGGTGTAAATGGTCCAGGGGACAATAAAAGGAGAATCATGGAATTAAATTTTGCTGTTCTTGGTCCCAGGGTTCAAATTCTGTGAAATTGGTAAAGTGACCACATTTTGGATTGTGCTTAAGCTTCAAATCCTAGAGGAAAAACCTGTTGTGTTCCATTGCTATTGACCTAAATAAAGGTTTCATTCAACCTGAAAGCACTCAGGAAGAGAATGCTACCGGCAGTGAGGTGACCATTTCAGCACGTTTAATATGAAAATAAAGTGTCTGTAGTACGAACGTATTATTATTTCTCGGTTTAGTCAATAGACCCATCATTGGTGTATATGTTACAATTTAGAAAAATCCGTAGACTAGAAGTGAGAGGGTCATGCAGGAAAGAAGAAAGCAACTCAGAGAGGATAATCATTCCTGGTTCTTTTCCCGAAGGGAACAGGACAGAGTGTGGGGCCATTCATGAGAGGTGGGGAGCGTTCCAACCCCATCAGGACTTTCCATCGGCAGTGCCAAGCATAGAGGGCTTGGAGTTTCTATGTTGACTGGAAGAGGCTAAAACTTCGTAAGCAATTTGACATTTTAAATGTTGCGACATCATTGCCACGGTAATAGAGATCACTTAATAGATTAAACTAATCCTCAGTGAATCTTTGCCATTTCATGAATTTAATTTTCTTTTTTTCCACTCAGTTCAGTTTTCTATTTTGATACTTGGTCTTTGTTTCAAGTAGAGCATCGTGTCCTGAACGTAGGTGGTCTGTGACATCGTCTCTTAGGATACAGAAGCAGTGACCGTCCACAGCAGGTGCTTCGTAAGCATCTATTGAAAAAGGAGAAAAGTCCAGCGCTAGAAAGAGCTAGAGAGGTCATCACATGCCCTGTTGTTCAGGCGTCAGTGTTAACTCTGTCACTGCTGGACAGATCTGTACTGCCCACCAGTCTCCCTGGTACCAGGTGGGGCTGGTACCTTCACCTACTGGATTTGTTGTCAGTTCCTGTGCCATTTCCGCTGGGTGCTGGGTGGGGACAGGGCAGTCAGGCTGCTGCCTCTGGTTTGCCCTGACGTTTAGGGAAGGACGTTGTGGAACAAGGTCTGCCCTGGAGGCAGCGCCTCCCTCAACCCCTGACCTGTCCTCCCTAAGCAAGATGATCTGAAAGGGATCACAGAAAGAGCTTGGTTCCTCCAAAAGAACAGAAAGCAAGACCTGTTCCTCAGACAGAGCCCTGCCCTTTCTGGAGCGCCCAGCAAACCTCTGATGGCATCTAATCCAAGGTCTCGGAGTCTCCTTCCCCCCAAGGATGTGCCTGTCATGGGCACCAGTGCCGTGGACCCATCCTTGGACACTGCTGTTGATCTTGCAGGCTACAGAGAGGCATCCTTAGGGGTAAACTGGAGACCAAAGGGGTGTGGTGTAAACCTAGGTGGATTTGAGGAAAACGAGGAAGACACAGCCAGCATAGGTGGGAACCCCCCCCCCATAAAATCTCATCAGACTCCACAAGCATTTCACATCTTACTGGAAAAGCTGACTTCAGGGTGAGAAGCTCATTGTAGGGGTGCAGCAAGGAGGGGAGGGCCATTGCTTCTCAGCACCTGCCCCCCCAACACACACACACAGGAGAGGTCTCCCCAGCATCCAGCGCCCCCAGCCCTCCCCTGGACAGCCACTTGTCACCGGATCTTCCCAGTGGGGCTGCTGTCCTTGAAACCCCAACACCAGTGATGCAGTGATGGAGCTGCCCTGGGGGTGGGGAGTGTGCTACAGCCTTGAGGGCAGCATGTCCACCCCCACCCACACCTCTCTTACCATTTTCCAGTTGGGCTACTGGTAGGAAAGAGAGGAGCAGCGTACGGCTTGCCCTCTGGGGTCCTAACATCCCAGGGTGGCACCTTGGCTCTGCACCAGACCAGGAGGCACCTCAGGGCGCCAACCCCACAGGAAGTAGGTACGCAGTGTTCGTAGCAGTCTTTGTTTCACTTTCTACCTAACGTTTCACAGGTGTGATTATGTCCTTTGAAGCATGTGTGTATCTGAGATGCTCTGAGCTGGTGTGCAGGCAGGAAACTCAAGTAAGAGGCAGCTGCTGAGTGACAGGTGGCCCTCCTCCTCTGAATTGGGGTGAGTCTGGCCTTTTCCAAACCACCCTGGATCTGGGTTGCCCAGGAACCCGGGAGTGGGCTTTTCCACCACCCTGGACAGAGGCCGGATGGACATTTGAAACCCATTGAGTTTACCCCTTGTTGGAGTCATGATGTGTCTTTAATGGGAAACGTGACAGGATTTTTTATCTTTGTAAATGACCTTGTTCATCCTTTGAGGTTTGTGTTCTGCTTTCTAAAAATCTCTTGTTAATGACCTGCAGAGTCTAGAGTGTGTAGGAGAAGCTTTCCCAGGCTTGCTGCATGGGGTTCGCTGGGGGTCATGGAGGAAAAGTCTGCAGGAGGGGAGACCTTCCCACACTCCCCAGCTGAGCAGCCTTTGCTGACCAACTCCTCCCATGTCTGCTCTGGGGGCTGGGTCTCAGTCCTGCCCCTGGCAGGCACCCACCTTGCTCCACATGTTTTGTTAATTGGTTGTGCTATAATCTCACATCTCTGATGGGGTCAAGAAAAGTCATGAACTTGCAGTTTGTCTGGCATTATTTTGTGGCAGGGTGGGAGTGATGAGATCTCTGCATTCCTAAGGGGACATCAAGACTCCATATAACTTTTTAAATTATGAAATATATTGTCCATGTAGAGAAGTGAATTAACAACCAATTCATTGAATAATGGGCTTCCTTTGTGGCTCAGCTGCTAAAGAATCCACCTGCAATGCGGGAGACCTGGGTTTAATCCCTGGGTTGGGAAGATCCCCTGGAGAAGGGAAAGGCTATTCACTCCAGTATTCTGGCCTGGAGAATTCCATGGACTGTATAGTCCATGGGGTCACAATAATTATAAAGCAAACTCCTGTTTCTCTAAGAGTAAAATGTCATCACTATAAAGGGCAGATCATTGTCACAAAGTGACATCCAAGGTGGCCTCGCCTGTTTTTTGTGTGTGTGTGTGTGTGTGTGCACATGTGTGTGTATGCGCACGTGCTTGTGCACGTGTGTGTGCGTGCGTGTGCACGTGTGCATGTGTGTGTGTGTGTGTGTGTGCATGTGCCTGTGCATGCAGGCGGGCAGCTGCCTTGGTGCTCGGGCTGCCTGCAGTGTCCGCAGGCCCAGAGGTTTGTCACAGGTCTATTGTGCAGTCATCAAGCTGGGAGCCCTTCACCTCCCTCCCACCTCCTGCCCCAAAAGTCACCACTGCCCAGACCAGTAAGACCATCAGGACACCCTAGGAAAGACGATCGATTCTGGAGCTCAAAGAGTGCGGTAGGCGGGGTATAGGGGGGCCCAGGGGGCCCTCTCAGGCCTCTGTCCCTGGGCATCTGTCCCAGCCCCTCCCCTCTCCTCGGCCAGCCACCCCGCTTCCTGCCTGGGGGCACTGTTTCCACAGTGGAAGCCCCCTGGGGACATGACAGCACTTCCTCCCACCCCCCGCCTTGTCCTTGGGGTGCAGTTTGCAGGCCCTCCTTCTAGGGCCTGGCGGGAGCTTCTGGCCTCCTTCACTGGTGGCCCAGGGGCACAGGGACCCTTTAGTCCATGTAACTCCTCCAGCCTGTGGTCAGGAGGGATGCTGGCTGTGCAGGGCACCTGCCTCCATCCTGGGCAGCCAGAGTTGTCTGTCCAGCCTTCACCAGCTGCAGTCGTGCCCCAGACATCTCCCTCAGGGGCTGCAAACATGACAGTTCCCTTGTCCTGCATCCCAAGCCCTCGCCCTCCAGCCTGCACAGCCCCTCCCCAGCCAGCAGCACCCACCGATCCAGAGTGTGACAGGGTGTGGAAAGTCTCCGATGAGACTGGCTGGTGAAGGGCTTCATCGGCTGTCCCATAACGTTATTCTTTCAGGAAGCTTTTCCTGAGGCGGCTTGTAATGACATGCGAGTGGTGCAAGCTTCAGGAGTCATGCTGCCGCACGTCACACATGTACGTAATAAACACAGGCGTCCCTTAGTCAGCCTTGCTGGAGCACCGTGTGTTGTACGCCAGACCTGCGTGCATAGCAGGAACAGACGTGGTGAGGGTGCACCCACAGAGGTTTGGGTCACAGGTAACAGGAATGCCCACTGAAATGCTTGTGACTCATGTCCCCTCTGCGTCTTGGAATGGCAGCTGCTGGCAGAGTCTCAGCTGCTCACAAATGCCACTGCCCACAGCATAGGTCCTTCCTTCTCACATGGATCTCTTCATGCTCCTGAGATAGCCTCATGCCTGTCCCTGGAGCAGTCGCTCAAACTGGGGGTGAGGTTACCTTTATGGCTTAGATCTGGGGCTGGGGGTCCCCTCCTGGACCCAAGGATGGGCGCTGCTGCCGTGGCAGAGCTCTCCCGGGTGGGAGAGGATTGTTACGGAGGCCTGAAGGGGCCATGCAGTATATCCTTTCATGGTACTTTTCTTACCCCTTTGATTGAGAGATGCAGAATTCCAAGAGTCTCATGAGCCCAGTGATGGTTTTAGGTTAACTTTGCATCCTCTTTATTGTACACGCAGTAGAAATACAAGTTTGCCTAAAGGCAAGTGCAAAGGAAAGTCTGCCATGTGAGACGTCATGTGAGACATGTCCTGTGTCATCTGCTTAGTCAGTAGCAACATTCAGGACACTCGGCTGTCTGGTCTCTCCCTGGCAACTGCAGGGTCACCTGGTCCAGCTGCCTAGGGACTCCAGGAGGCCCCCTCCCTGTCAGCCGACTGTCCATCACAGACTGTTGGTCTGCGTCATTGGCCTGCGTATCTGGTCACAGGCCAGGAACACACCCTTAACAGCAGAGGCTTCGTCGTATGTGATGGTATCTTGAGGCTGTTCCAGGTTCTTTCTCATGGTTGTTCGGTTTTCTTTCCTGTTTGTTTTCCCATGTGGACCAGAGAGTCAGCATTTCCAGTTCCAGGGGTGAGGGACAGAGGACCTCTTGGTATTTTATTTAGGGTTCGACTACATCTATTAAATTAACTTAGAAAGCATGGATTGTGTATTATTTATGTGTTACTATCTAACAAGCCACCCCAAAAGGTCATGATTGAAAACAACCACCATTTTCTTATCTCACAATTCTGTGGGCCAGTGCTTTGGGCTGTGCTCACCAAGGTGGTTTTCTGCTGGTCTCACCTGGGGTCTCATGTGTGGCTGCAGTCAGCTGGCAACCTGCCTGGGGCCATGGGTCCATCTTTGCTCCCTGTGGGTCCACCTTCCAGCTGGCTAGATGAAGTCTCTTCCCCTGGTCCCTGGAGGGTGCAGGGGAAGCTGCAGGGCCTCTGAAGGCCCAGGCTCAGGAGCCATGGGATGTCACCCCATTCTATTTAGGGGTGAGCTTTGCAGCCAGCCCAGGCTCCAGGGGCCGGGGAGCAGACCCCCACATCTGGATGGGGAAGCAGTGCTGGTTTACTGGGGTGTGAGCACTGGGGGCACTGCCACCCCTACTGCACACGTCTTCCCATTTGCTTAGTTTTGCTTTCGTCGCCTTCTGGTCTTAAGGTTTACTCGTATGAGCTCTGTTGATTTCTTCTGAAGTTTGTGAGTAGGTATTTTCACCTTTTTTTTTAATCTTTTTTCATCACAAAGGTACCTAGGGCCTTCTCCACTGTGTCTTCTGTTTCCGCGTGTTCACCTGGAGGCGTGTCCACTGGGCTGTGCTCTCTGGCAGCCTGGACATACAGCAGGGCTCTGTGTCTTTCTGGTCACTGAGCACTTGTTGCCACCCGTCTTGCTTTAGAGGGAATCCCTGGCACTGGAATTCCAATTTTATTCCTTTCTGCTAGAGAGGAAACACAGAGCAGCCCAGAGAGACATGCATTGAAGATGGCAGAGCTCCCAACAGCCTGGGCCCCAGATGACCACAGGGGGTGGAGCTGCCAGGCTCCCTGAGCCCTAGATGACCACTGGGGTGGAGCTGCCATGCTACCTGGGCCCCAGATGACCACAGGGGGTGGAGCTGCCAGGCTGCCTGGGCCCCAGATGACCTTGGGGGGAGGAGCTGCCAGGCTGCCTGGGTCCCAGATGACCTTGGGGGAGGAGCTGTTGGGCTGCATCTTCCGTGCATGGCTTCCTAGGTTGCTCCATTGTCCCAAATGACCATCTGGGACCAGTGGCCTGAATCTCTTAAGTCAGACATTGACTTCTGGCATTGTATTGGTTTTATTCCTTTCAATGTGACTGTAACCACTTATTGGTTCCAGCGGCACTTTGGTTATGGTGGGTTCTCTCGAGTCTACACGGCACACACCTTCCACCTGCAGACACTGCTGGTTTCACTCCTCCTTTTCAGTTCTTAGGTGTCTTGGTGATTTCATATCCTGATGGGGGTTGGGCCAGCAACAGACGATTATTAGCAAAGAAGTACATTGAATTTCCCAGCCTTATTGAAACATAAGGTGGTCCCTGTAAGTGGATTTGCCCAAGAACTGAAACCAGCCCCATTAAATCTCATAACTAGGATTAATCTAAAATTTTTGTTGGACTTCTGAAAATGCCTTCTCTGATCCCCAGTTGCCTTCAGTGCCACGGTGACCATGACACAGCCCCCGGCGCCAGGGCGAGGTCACCGTGGACAACAGCTGCTGCATTATGTTCTCATCTGTGATGTCACCGTGGGTCCATGGGCCTGTGAGCTGGCCCAGCACCGGGCGCCCTCCGAGGTGCGCCGTCTCAGGTCGGGGGCTTGCCTCTGCCCTCGTGCTGCCGTCAGCAGGATGCCTGCCCCCGGCGCCCCCTGCCCCTCCTTTTCTCATCTGGCACTTCGGCTTGGCTGTGGGCCAGGAGACCACCCAGTCCTGTGTGTCCGAGCTGTGTTAAAGGCGAGAGTGAGGAGGAGCCCATCCAGGAGCTAAGGCGTCTGTTGTGAGTGAGGGTTCTGCCTCCCTGGTACCCTGGCCAGCTGCAAAGAAAGCAGTGGGGTTTATTCTTGGTTTTGGTTGTGTTCAGAACAGTAAATAATTGAGATTATTTGCCAAATTAAGATAAAATTAGTTGGCAAATTTGCCACCTAAATTATCTTAAGATAACTTAAAAATACCTGAGATGATATCTGTCTACTATCCTGTTTCGAATAGTCGGTCTGGTTCATAGACTNTGGGTGGATGGATGGATGGGTGGATGAGTGGGTAGGTGGATGGATTGGTAGATGGATGAGTAGGTGGATGGATGGGTGAATGGATGGGTGGGTAGATGGATGGTGGAGAGATGGATAGGTGGATGAGTGGATGGATGCATGAAGGGATGAGTGAATGGATGGATAATGGATAGATGGGTGAGTGAGTGGGTAGATGGTAAGTGAGTGGATGGGACAGAGGAAGAGAAAGAAGGAAGAAGGGAAGGTAATAGCCTTAGTTCCCTTTCATCGTGGGCTTTGAATTTGGATTGCATATAATTGAACAGCTCTTTTTAATCCTGTAATCCAGACTTCCTATGTAGAACCACAAAAATGAGGCACTTTTGACATGTTTAATGTCTTTTCTCTTTACTAACCACTGCTCTCAGGGTCAGCCCTGCTCAGGAGAGACTGCCCCAGCAGGGCAGGATGAGGCTGCCAGCCTTTGACCGCAGCTCTGAGCGGTAGTTGGTCCAGGGTTGTTATCAGAAACGGGGCAGCAGGGCAGCTGAAGTAGTGCCCCCAGTGCTGGCCAGTTCCTGCCTCCACACGGAGCCAGACGCCTGCCTGTGGGGCGGCACCGGATGTTTGAGGCTGGGGGTGCAGTTTCCTATCGGGCACCGCTCTTCTAACTGCCTGAGTAGACTGCATTGGCAGAGGCTGGAGGGCTGGTGTGGGCCCTGTGTGTGAGTAGAAAAGTGGTCATCCACAGGCGGAGAGGCATTCACCTCCCTGCATGGAGCAGAGCAGCTCTCTGGGTGGTGTGGGAGAGATCAGGCCCTGGACTTCAACTTCAGTTTCTGTGGCAAGGGTTTGTTGGAAAGATGGTGGTGGTGGGGAGGTGCCTGGGAGGGAAATCTGAAGGCCGCGCCGTCTGACTGGCTAGTTCGTGAGGAAGAGAGACAAAGGGACCAATACTAGCCTGACGAACATCTGGTGGTCCCTGAGGCTGGTGCAGGGGATGTGAGCAGGGTGAGGCTGGGCCTCCTGGGCAGCAGGACATGGGCATTGCATGATCTGAGTATGAGGCCTGAATGTTTGTTATAGGTGTGTTCCTCTGCTGGGGGGCTGTGACATACACCACAGGCCAGGGGCTTAAGCGGCAGTCATCAGCTCTCCCGTCCTGGAGGCTGGAAGGCCAGGGCCAGGGTGTTGGAAACTACGAAGGGAGAAGCTGCGTGTGGAGGCCGCCTCCCCCATGTCTTCTCATGGTCATCCTTCTTATAAGGATGCTGGTCAGATTGGATTAGGACCCACCCTAGTGACCTCACTTAACTTGATTGCCTTTGTTGAGACCATATTTCCAAATGCAGCCACTCATCAGGGTGCTTGGGGGTGGTTAGGACCCCAACACACCCTTGTGAGGGGATGTAGTTCACTTGTAACAGAGTGCCAAGGTCAGGACTGGCAGTGGTCAGCGGGCCGGGCCCTTCCGGGCATGGAGATGAGCTGGTCCCGGTGCTCCTGGCTCTGACTCTCACCCTTACCACCCTGAGTCCTGAGGAACCCCAGGCTCAGAAATAGCGGGACAACCCTGGAGGGGTGGTGTCAGAACCATGAGGGGCCTGCTTGTGCGCCAAGGGCCTGGGGCGGGGCAGGGGCTGGGAGGAGAGTCTGGTTCGGCTCCCAGCCCTTCCTGCTGTATCAGAACTCCGGCGGCTCCTGGGAGGCCGGGGTCAGCGTCTGTCTGGGATCCACCTGCCCGGAACCATGTGAGCGCAGCCCTGCCGAGCCCCTGGCCCCACCCCCTCCCCACCTGGCCGCCTCTGCTCTGTGCCTCTTCTCCCGAGTGAGGGGCAGTCCCATCCTGTGTCTCCCTATTGGGGAGCGTGAATGCAGCCCTTCCCCTGCCCTGAGAAGCTTGTCTGGGACCACACACCCCTCAGGACTGGGCTGTGCAGGTGCCAGGCTTCTGGAGCAACCTAAACCCTTATCCAGTGAAGGACTTAGGCTCAGGTTTCCTCTCCAGCTCAGCAACAGCATCTGAGAATTAATGAAAAGGTGCCAATGTATTTTAGTTTTAATTGGAGGATAATTGCTTTACAAAGCTGTGTTGGTCTCTGCCATACATCAACGTGACTCAGCCATAGGTATACATATGTCCCCTCTCTCTTGAACCTCCCTCCCACCTCCCACTATAGTTTATCTTAAAACTTTATGGAATAATAGTGGTTACCTTGGTCGGGAAGATCCCCTGGAGAAGGAAATGGCAACCCATTCCAGTACTCCCCTGGAAAATCCCGTGGATGGAGGAGCCTGGTAGGCTGCAGTCTATGGGGTCGAAAAGAGTCAGACACAACTGAGCGACTTGACTTTCTTTCTTTCTGGGGGCAGTAGGGCATGAATGGATACCTATTATGCCTCATGATCTCTACCTTACATGCATTCTTTTATTCCAGGACATACTGTGTGTTTTCTAAAAGCATGTACCAGCCTCAGTGAAAGAGCTGTGCATTGCTGTGGTTTTGAAGCGTCTCATTTGTGTCATTAGGCTAAACCACGTCACATAGGCAAGCATGGTCCCTACACCATCCATTACAGGGGGACGGTTCTGGATCAGAACAAGCTTAGTCCATGACGTGAGAGCTAGGCGGGAGGAGGCGTTGACTGAAACTGTGGGGTCAGAGGCGGTTGGAGATGGATATTAACTCAGCATCTCCCGTAAGATGGTGGGCTCAGCCCAGCAAGCTGTACTTCCACCTGCAGGCTCCTAGTGGCCCTACCTTTACTAGGTGGTGGCAGGGGCAGGATGAGGTGCAGTGCCCCAGTGGGTGCAGCCAGAAGCCCCCAACGACACTCTGAACCTGAATTGGTCACAAGGGAATAGCCAGACATCCTGTAGAGGGATGTCCCATAGACATCAGGACAGTTGGCCTGGGCTCTCAAGTGGGTAGGCAAGGGTGTTAGGTCAGAGAACGGGGTGGGGGGAGGGGGTGGGGGTTGGGTGTGTGGTTGAATGTCACTCCGCCCCTCAACCAGGGCCTGGATGGAAAGAAGGGGTACAGGTGGTTTGGGGACAGTGGGTGAAACTGAACTACAGATGGGATATTAGACAATATGCTTATGTCAGGGTTAAATTTCTCAGATATGATCACGGTATTTTATGGTCAGTCAAATGCCCATCTTCTGAGAAGACATAGGCTGAACTGTTTCAGAGTGTATTTTCATCAAATATTCCAGAAGAAAATTTTAAATTTAGCCCATAAACATGAAATGTAAAAATTAAATATTCATATGTATTTTTGTTATATAATGTTAGGTTAATGTGATTGGTAAAAGACTTTCAATCATAATAAATTATATTCTAATAAGCTTCTGTAGAGGAGGTATAGTGGAAATACAAAATCAAGGAGAAAATGGAATGCGTTTCTTGACTTTTAAAGAAAAGCTTGCTTTTTTTTGTATTTTGAAAAAGGATGGTGGTGGTGGCTATCAAGTCATGGTGGCATTTAGATCCCACTGTCTAAACTTAAAACAAAAAAGTCCCTGACGTATGGTGATTCAGATCATGATTTTTGGACTTTCCAATACACATTCGGTGAAATCATACCTCAAATTGTGAATTTTAACCTTCTCCTAGGGAGTTTCAGCTTCAGCATCAATCCTTCCAATGAACACCCAGGACTTATCTCCTTCAGGATGGACTGGTTGCATCTCCTTGCAGTCCAAGGGACTCTCAAGAGTCTTCTCCAACACCACAGTTCAAAAGCATCAATTTTTCGGTGCTCAGCTTTCTTCACAGTCCAACTCTCACATCCGTACATGACCACTGGAAAACCCATAGCCTTGACCAGATGGACCTTTGTTGGCAAAGTAATGTCTCTGCTTTTTAATGTGCTATCTAGGTTGGTCATAACTTTCCTTCCAAGGAGTAAGCATCTTTTAATTTCATGGCTGCAGTCACCATCTGGGTGTTCATTGGAAGGACTGATGCTAAAGCTGAAACTCCAGTACTTTGGCCACCTCATGCGAAGAGTTGACTCATTGGAAAAGACCCTGATGCTGGGAGGGATTGGGGGCAGGAGGAGAAGGGGGCGACAGAGGAGGAGATGGCTGGATGGCATCACTGACTCGATGGGCATGAGTTTGAGTAAACTCCGGGAGTTTGTGATGGACAGGGAGGCTTGGCGTGCTGCGATTCATGGGGTCGCAAAGAGTCAGACATGACTGAGTGACTGAACTGAACTGAACTGAGGCTGGTGGCATGCAGTCAAGTCCTCTCTCTGATGCTGGACAGTGGTGGCCACAGCCCCATCAGCAGCCCCACCATCATGAGGGTGAACAACCCATGCTGGACCCAGATGGCCATCCTGTTTTTTACTTTTATTTTTTTTCCTGTTTTTTACTTTTAGTACAGTATTCAGTAAATCACGAGAAATATTCAGCACTTTGTTATAAAATAGGCTTTGTGTCTATTATAAAATAGGTGATTTTGCCCACTGTAGGTGAACGTGAGTATTCCAAGCACAGTTAAGGTGGGTGGGGCTCAGCTGTGATGTTTGGAAAGTTCAATGTATTAAACACATTTCAACTTAATGATATTTTCAACTTATGGTGGGTTTACTGAAATGTAATCCTGTTGTAAGTTAAGGAAGATCTATATATATTTAGGCTTTCCTTTAAGTGTATTTACTTATTTATTCATTTGGCTGAGCTGGGTCTTTGTTGCTGTGTTGTAGGCTTTCTCTAGTTGCGGCGGGCAGGGCCTCCGCGCTAGTTGCGGTGCACAGGCTTCTCTTTGTGGTGGCTTCTCTTGTTGTGGAGCACAGGCTCTAGGCCCACAGGCTTCAGTAATTGTGGCCTGTGGGCTTAGTTGCCCTGTGCCTTGTAGGATCTTCCTGGACCAGGGGTCGAGCCTGAGTCCCCTGCACTGGCAGGAGGATTGTTAACCACTGGACCACCAGAGAAGTCCAGATCTGTATATTTAAAAAGTGAAACTTCACAATATACCAGAATTTATACCCCTTGCATATTTAAACTTGGGTTGAAAAACGTAGAAATCGATTTATAATTTGTCTGGCGATACGTGATTTTTTTTTGTTTAATATTTTTGATGTGGAGCATTTTTAAAGTCTTTATTGAATTTGTTACAACATTGTTTCTGGCTTATGTTTTGGTTTTTCAACCGTGAGTCATGTGGGATCTTAATTCCTTGATCAGGGATTGAACCTGCACCCCCTTCATTGGAAGGTGAAGTCTTAGCCACCGGATCACCAGGGAAGTCTTGTGATATATATCGTTGTGAAAATATTTTCAAAGGGTAGGCACAAGCTGGTGCTCTGGCTGCTGAGTTGATGCTTTCCCCCCTTGCCAGTCTGCAGGCCTTGTGGGGAGCTGGGGAGGGTGTGAGCTGAATGGGCAGCAGGGTTTCTTCTGCAGGGGGTGGGGCTGGTAAGCCCACTGTCATCGAAGGGCCCCCTAAGTTAGCATACGTGACTGATGAGTTATTAAAGCATTCAGGCCCGGGTGGCCCAGAGGTGGTGGGCGAGAGGCAGAAATGCCTAAACAGATTGTGGCCACTGTGTGCTCTCATGGGGGGTGGGTAGGTGGGGGGCCTGAACTGCAACTGCGGATGCTCCTTAGAACAGGTTCTGGCCCACATCCAGGCACTGGGGACAGACTGACAATCTAGACCAGTGGCCAGCAGCAGGGGGGGATGGTCAACTGCAACCAGGAGCCCCAGGCGGGTGTGGGCGGCCATTCCAGGTGGGGGCACGCACTTGGAGCAGCCAGTCCAAGAGAAAGGTGTGGCTCATAGGGCCTCTGTGGATGGACGTCCTTGACCAGAGATTCAGGGGCTGGACTGTGACTGCAGGTGTTAAATGGATTCCTGAGTGGAGGGCTGTGTTCACACAAAGGCTTGTAGGGAAAGTGCGGGGCCAGAGATTGCACACTTGCTGCCGTCAGCAGGTGCACAGGTGAGCGGACAAACTGGAGATGATGCTCCCATCAGAGGCTGGACGGCGGCCGGGCTGGGCCCACAGATGGATACCACGTGAACCTCTTTATTTGAACCTTTAGAAAAGGAAGATTGATCCAGTGCCTGAATGCCCAGAGGTGCTGGCAGGAGTGGGGAAGCATTGACTGGGAGGCAGGGCGTTGATGGGGAAGGGGGCATTGATGGAGAAGGGGGCATCAGGCCTCGGCTCCTTCCTTGTCCTCCTAGCGTCCCGCCACATGGCCGCAGACTTCACCCCCCCATGCCCCCATGCAGCCACGTGGGACCCAAGGGCAGACGCAGGGCACCTTCTAGAGTCATGTGGCCAGGTCTCCCACACAGGAGTGGGGCCCCTTGTGCCCTGCAGAGCCTGGCATGGCCCACCCTGGAGGCCTCCTGAGCCTGCTCCACCCTCACCCCAGAGTGTGGGCACCTCTCTGGAGGACCCGGAGTGGCGGCCAGCAGCTGCCAGGCTGTCATATGCCCAGCTCTGTTTCTGTCCACAGGGGGATTTGATTTCAGGGCAGCTCACAGAACAAGTACAGCCATGAAATGTGACCTTCTGGCTTCACGTTTGAAACCAAGAAACCAAACTGGTGAAGGGAAGCAAGGGAGAAGCTGACTGGGTCCCTGGGGGGTCACTCCTTCCACCTTAGACCAAAACGAAAGCTTTTCAGCTAAAAAAAGCCACAACAGCTTGTGAGTTAAAAGGCATTAGTTGAATGTTTTATAGTGATTTCATGTGTAGTGTTGATTTTTTAAATAAGATGCTAAAACAAGAAAAGAAAAATTACCCATCATGCCTTTACCTAGAGATAACATGCTGTGCTGTGCTATGGTCAGCCGTTTCAGCCATGTCCAGCTCTTTGTGACCTCATGGACTGTAGCCTGCGAGGCTTCTCTGTCCGTGGAATTCTCCAGGCAAGAATAACTGGAGTGAGTTGCCATTTCCTCCTCCAGGGGTTGCTGACCCAGGGGTTGAACCTATGTCTCTTACATCTCCTGTGTTGGCAGGTGGGTTCTTTACCACTAGTGCCACCTGGGAAGCTAATCACTATTGATATTTGTATGCATTTTTCTAGTCTTTTCTTTCTTTCTTGTATATATGAGGGTATGTGCATAGTGTGTATGTATGTGGTATGTGCATATGGTGTGTGCATGGTATGTGTGTGAGGTGTGTGTGTATATGTGCTGTGTGCATGGTATGTGTGTGGTGTGTGTGTACATGCTGTGTGTGTATTTGGTATGTGTGGTATGTGTGTATGTGGCGTGTGGTGTGTGTGTATGGTGTGTGTGGTATTTGTGTGTGTGCATGGTATGTGTGTGTACATGGTGTGGTATGTGCATGGTGTGTGTGTGGTGTGTGTGTACATGATGTGTGTGTGTGGTGTGTGTGTGTAGTGTGTATGGTGTGTGTGTACATGATATTTGTGTGTGTACATGGTGTGTGTGTATGTGCATGGTGTGTGTGTATATGTACATGGCATGTGTGTGTACATGGTGTGTGTATATGTGGTATGTGCATGGTGTACATGGTGTGTATGTGTACATGGTGTGTGCGTGTATGTGGTGTGTGTGTATTTGGTATGTGTGGTGTATGTGTACGTGGTGTGTGGTGTGTTTGTGTATATGGTGTGTGTGGTGTGTGGGTGTGTGTACATGGTGTGTGTGTATGTGCATGGTGTGTGTATATGTACATGGCATGTGTGTGTACATGGTGTGTGTATATGTGGTATGTGCATGGTGTACATGGTGTGTATGTGTACATGGTGTGTGCGTGTATGTGGTGTGTGTGTATTTGGTATGTGTGGTGTATGTGTACGTGGTGTGTGGTGTGTTTGTGTATATGGTGTGTGTGGTGTGTGGGTGTGTGTACATGGTGTGTGTGTATGTGCATGGTGTGTGTATATGTACATGGCATGTGTGTGTACATGGTGTGTGTATATGTGGTATGTGCATGGTGTACATGGCATGTGTGTGTACATGGTGTGTGTATATGTGGTATGTGCATGGTGTATGTGTGGTGTATGTGTGTACCTGAGGTGTGTGTGTGTACGTGGTGTGTGTACCTGGTGTTGGGGTGTGTGTGTATGTGGTGTGCGTGATGCCTGTGTGAACCATGTATCAGCTCCCCCTCCGCCCCGCACATCCATCCGTCACTCTCAGGAGGGAAGGGCCTGAGGGTGCTGTGGGAGCTGCAGATCTGGGCTCCGGGAGGACCACTGTGGACCCCTTCTCCACTTGCCGCCCCTCACCCTGGGGTCCCTGCGCCCTCCTGACTGCTGCCCTGTCTTTGCAGGACGGCCATTCTCAGTGAAGGACCCTGCACTCGCTACTGAGCTGTGGCCATGGGCCTGCTTGCCTTCCTGAAGACCCAGTTCGTCGTGCACCTCCTCATCGGCTTCGTCTTCGTGGTGAGCGGGCTGGTCATCAACTCCATCCAGCTCTGCACGCTGGTCCTCTGGCCCGTGAACAAGCAGCTGTACCGCCGGCTGAACTGCCGCCTTGCCTACTCGCTCTGGAGCCGTGAGTACTGCGTGCACTGGGCGTGGCATGGCGGGGGAGGGGTCTGGCGACAATCAGGACAGCCAACTTTCTGCTGGACAGCCCCAAACAAACTGGCGCAGGGGCCCGTGGGGGTTAACGCTTGTGACGATGAGCCAGGATGGCCAGGGGCTCCACAGCTGGGAACTAAGGGGCCTCTCCTGGCCGTGAGGAATGTATGGGGTGCTCAGCCTGAGCTCTTCACTGGGCTGAACCACGCAGTGTCCCGATTCCCGAGCCTCTGGACCCACAGAGATGGTGGTTCCATGTGGTTTCACACGGTACTCTGGATACCTGAAAACAAGCAGTCATACTGTCAGTGCACCGTGACTAGTCCTGATGCCTGCCGGCACCTGGCCGGTCACGGGCCTGCAGATCCCAGCACTGGGCACTCCCCTCGAGTGGCCTGTTATCACATGTAAATACTTCAGCATCTCTCTCTGAAGGAAAGGGACCTACCTGTCTCTTAATTAAATGTTTAGGCATGCACAGGTGTTACCTGTGTGCACTTGTGATGTGCGTGTCTTTGTGTGTGTAGAGTCACCCTCACCTGTCAGAGACTAGGAAGCTTGGTGACAACACCCACCGCTGGCCAGGGGAACACATTGTGGGTTAGGGTTCCCAGGCACTTCTTTGGACCTGTAACAATCAGCAACTTAAACAGTTCTGTTTTTTGGCCCTAATTATTCCACCAAATAAGAAGGTAACCTAGAAAGACATCTATAAAAGTACATATATGCACAGATATATTCATTTTGCCAGTTTTATATTAACTAATATAAAAATGAGCAGCCAAAATGCCCACTAACTGTGGTGTGTCCACTGGATGGAGGCCCACACGGCCACTAAGACCAGCAGGCGATCTCTCTTTCCTGGTATTGAGAACCAAGTTCAAGATACATTTTTAGGTGAAAACAGAAGCTAAAAAACAAAGTTTAGAGGTGCTACCATGATTTACTTTTAAAGACACGTGTGATGTGTCTGCACTGGCGTGTGGTCGTCCCTCCTTAGAAAATGTGGAAGGCAGAACAGAAAATGTGGCTGTCCCAGGAGTGGGAGTGGGAGGGACTCTTGCTACTTTTTCCATACTGTGTGCAGTTTACTTAGCATAAGAACACCTTTCTTTAACAATGAAGAGAAGGTAGTACACATTTTATGTCCTATGGGAAGCGATGAGTCTGTCCCCGAGATGTCCCCCTCCCCAATGTAGGAGGGCAACTGAGCAGGTAGTGAGGTGTCCAAGCCCAGGTGTGCGTGCCCCCAAGAGGGGACAGCAGCCCCACCCATGCTTCTAGCCATAAACATGCGAAAGTTTCAGTTCCCAGCTGCTTTTTTCCTAAATAAAAGGCCACCTTCCTGTGTGTGAGAAGGAGAATTAGAAATACTACCATGCAGAACATGCAGGCGAGTTATTCACACGCGTCACCAGGGCAGATGAGTGCATGCCTGAAGGGCAAATGCTGACTTGTGAAAATCACATCCTCCACTGGCAGTAGTGTTCTGAAGTTAAAGCACTTCCACACAGCCAGACTCTGAGTAAAGCTGGCTTTTTAAGGCCGTAAATAAAGGAAATCCTTCAGCCACACCCCCACCTCTCCGCAGAAGAGGGCACCAAGAGGGGTATCAGCACTGCTTCCCAGGGCCCCGCCTTGGCAGCTCCAGGAGACAGCCTGGGTCTCAGCCAGGACCTTGGACGTTTGCTGAAATGAGCAGACTGGCGATGCCCATGGGGTCAGCAGAGGCAAACAGAAATGTGCTCTTGGCCTGAGTTAGTCTCTAACTCAGTAGAATCACATAGATTGAAACAAGTCTTACATGAACTCAGAAACAATAAATATACAAGGGAAGATTCAGACAAAAGACTATCCAAAATAACCCAGATTTGAAGAAGAACTAAGGAGCACTTCTATGCATAAAAATTGTAGTTATAATAATTTTTTTAAGTAAAGACTTAGTGAATCTTACATCAGATTAGACACAGCTAGTGAGCGAATGGGTGAACTGGACAATAATATGAAGAGCTCACCCCGACTGCCAGTAAAGTGACAAGATGAAAAATATGAAACAGGAGCTAAAGGAGGTAAGGAGAGCATGCAGGTCTATGCGATGGGTGTTGGATTCCTGTCCCTGAGGAGTGAATAAGGAGAAGCACTGTTGGAGGAGATGGTGGCTAAGAATTTTCCTGAAGGGGAAATTCAATGGTAAGGACTCACCACTTTTAACTACTGTGCCCCAGGTTCAATCCCTGGTCGAGGAAATAGATTTTTGCAAGCCCCATGGCACAGCTGAAAATAAAATATTGTCCAAATTGACCATGAGCAGAATCATGTCGTCAGTCCTGTCTGCGTATGTAGTCATCTGCCATCCACGGGGAGACGATGTATCTCGAAATGGGCCAAGCCACCCTCAGGCCATGCTGGCCATTGGTGGGACAGAGCATCCTCAACACGCTGCCTTTCCACAGGTGGCTCTGCTAGACCCACTCTCCAGGGAGCTCGGAACATCTGCAGAGGGCTGCCTGTGTCTGTCTGTCTGAAGTTGGTTCCTCCTCGCAGGCCCCCACCGGGGCCAGACCTCTGGTGCTGGGTCCTGAGGCTGCCCGGTGAGGGTGTGCACTCACCGTGGCTCTGTTCACAGTAGCCGGGATGTGGAGATGGTGTCCATGTCCATCAACAGACCAACGGACCAGCAAAATGCCATCCACATGGACAATGGAATACTACTTAAGAGAAAGGAAATCCTGCTGTTTGTGACAATATGGATGAACCTGGAGGGCCTGACACGGAGGGAAACCAGGCAGTCACAGAGGGACCAGTGCTGCCTGATTCCTCCTCCGAGGGATCCACATGACCAAGCTCAGGGAAGCGGAGCGGAGAACAGTGGTGGCCAGGGCTGGGGGAGGGGAAGTGGCGAGCTGCAGTCAGATGGGTGTGAAGTGTCCGTTACCCAAGAGGAGTGAGTTCTAGAGCCCACTTAGGGCCTGGAGCCCACAGTTAACAGGACCGCGCTGTGCACTTGGACATTTGTGCAGAAGGAGGCCTCAGGTTGAATGTCCTTACCGTGATGAGGAAGGATACCTCCTCGTTCCCAAGCAAACCGCTCTAGAGGCAGCAACCTCAGCCACCGGCTCTTACTTGACCAGCTGACACATGGAGGCTTCCCAGAAGGAAGCTGAGGAGGCGCAGGAGCAGGCCGTCACCAGGCTGTGGTCATGGGTCTGTCCCAGCCCCGGGGCCCTGCCGCCTGGGGTGGGGGTGTGGGTGGGGGCGTTGGCAAGTCCCCAGCAGCCACCCGTGCTTTCAGATGGACAGTCAGCCTAGCCTTGGGCCTCTTTTTTCTTAAACAGCTATAAGGAGGTGAAATTCACCCACTTAGAGCGTGGAGTGGTCCTCCCTATGTTCCCCCCTGCCATCTCTCCCCTACCGAGCCCCGCAGTCACTGATATACTTCCTGTCCACATGGCTTTGCCTGTTCTGCGTGGTTCACGTGATGGAATCATGCACTGCGTGGTCATTGTCTGACTCCCCACACTCAGAGCTCCGTGTTTCCCAGGTTCATCTGTGTCCTGCTGTGTATCAGGCCCACGTTCCCACTTTGGCTGAACGACGCTACCCTGTATGGATGTCCACTGGCTGTTCCTTCATCAGTTGTCGCCCTTCTGGGCTGTTTCCACTCTCTGGCTTTGTGAATAACACTGCCACAAACATCCATGTTCAAGTTTCTACACCGACATCTGCTCTCGTTTCTACTGGGCATCTCCCTGGTGGTGGAATTGCTGTGTCATCTGGTTACTCTGTTTGGAGCATAGTTGCAACTGCCCTGTCTACAGCCCCACCTGCAGCATTGGGCATCCCAGGCCCTCTGATCCTCACTGGCACATGCTATTTGTCATCCATCTGTTGGATGACAGCCGTCCTGTGAGTGTGATGCAGTGCCTGGCTGTGGCTTTGGCCTGCACTTTCCTGATGACCAGAGATGCCAAGCATCTTCTCACGTTGACCATCTGTAAATCATCCTTGAACAACGTCTGTTGAGGACCTCTTGTCTTTCCATTCCTTGGACCTTTATTCACAACTTGAATGTTGGATGGAAGTGGCCAGGCTATCCCAGGGGCATAGTTTGCCCCTATTGATGGGCCTCCATCTCCTCAGGGCCCTGGTCCCTTGATGGAGCTTATGGCGAGTGTGTCCTGGAGCTGACCCTTTCATGGCCCCTCCTCTCCGTAGTTTGAGAGTGTTCAGGTGTCGTCTCAGAACTGGCCTTCCATCCTGTCCCACCTTGTGTAAAAGAGGAATTTGAGATCCCAGCACGTGGGGGGAGCTGTGTGTCTCCCCACTTCTGTCTGGGCTAGTGGGGATCCTCATTGGGAAGGAGAAGCCGGCCCCTGTGCCAAGTCCCATCCAGTCCCCCGGCAGCCTCTCAGGAAGCCACAGTTGTCTCCTGCCAACAGGGAAGCAGTCTGGGAGCCCACTGTCTTTAAGTGCTGGGCTGTCCTGCCTCATCAGCCTTCCCAGGGCTGGTCCTCTGTGAAAACTGATGGGTTGGTGTCCAGCACGCAAAGGACAGGCTCTCTGAAATCCGTCCTGAGGCTGGGAGCTGCACTTCCTGGCCTGAGGCCACCCTTCTCAGGACGCCTGGCCATGGTGGGTGTGACATGGCCTGGCTGGGTGCCCACCGCCTCCCCAGCCTCCTCGTCTGGGGACAGAATGTGTGCTGCCCCATGGGTCCAGAGCACGCGTGAAGACCATAGTCGTACATGATGATACAGGTGTCCACCTCAACTCTTTGTAAAGAGTACTGTGGATAAGAGTAACAGTGCTTAACACATGTCAACCAAAGACCCCCCCAGAGGGGGGACCCCAGTTTTATTCACTTATTTCTATATTTTTGAGCTTCCTCTGAAACTTTCCACAGAGCCCTGGACTTAGTTTTGGGGGGCTGAGATTGGAACTCCACCACTTTTTCTCTGAGCTTTGGGAATAATAACAAGAACTCAAGTTGTCTGCTAGAATCTGATGTCATTTACAAGCAGGGTGCCTGGTATACCGTTGGTATTCAATACCTTGTAATAAAATAATAATATAATTATGAGGCTGTATTCTCTTAATAAGTGAATGTCTTGTTCACCATCTCATCTGATGGGTTATTTGATTTTTAAGAAAAGTGAAGGTCTGATTTTTAAGAAAAAAATATTTTAAATTAAGTCCTTTAGATATGTTAATTACAAAAAAAAAAAAAAAAAAATCCACCTAAAATGGGTTTCCTCTTCCATTTCTTCTGGTTTTTTTTTTTTTTTTGGGCTGCACTGGGTCCTCACTGTGGCACACGGGCTTCGTCTAGTTGCTGAGTGCCAGGGTTGTGTCCTTTGCATTGCACGGTGGATTTTTAACCACTAGACCACTGGGGAAATCCCCCATTTTTTCTGCTTCCGTTTGACTTCTCCCCTGACGTTTGCTTAGAGAGGTAATTATAAGTTTAGAAAACTTAGTTTATTACACACAAACCTTCAGAACTCATTTCCAGCAGAAAGTCCCAATCTGGCTGACACCGCACAAGCCCCGACCCCGTAGCCCCGACCCCGTCAGGGAGCAGGGAGGGAGGGCAGGCCGGAGTGCGGCCGTCTGCACCTGGCCGACGCCCCCGCGTGTGTCCGCAGAACTGGTGATGCTGCTGGAGTGGTGGTCGTGCACGGAGTGCACCCTGTTCACCGACCAGGCCACGGTGGACAGCTTTGGGAAGGAGCATGTAGTCATCATCCTCAACCACAACTTTGAAATCGACTTCCTCTGTGGGTGGACCATGTGCGAACGCTTCGGCGTGCTGGGGGTGAGCCACGTAGGGGTCCCAGGAGGGCGTGGGGTGAGCGACATGGGGTCCCAAGGAGGGGCTGGCATGGCTCCCTGGAGGGTCTGGAGTCTCTAAGGGCTCTGGGTTTTCATTTGCTCTGTGTTTAGCCCCTGGTCCCTCTGAGCTAGGCATGTAAGCATGGCTAACCACATGGGTTCTGGGACTGCAGGCTGCCCCAGGGATCCCTCCTGAGATCAGGTGTTAACTGCCTTTCCTTTGCAATCCTCCCCCGTCGGCTCAGCTGCCTCAAATGAGAAAGGCTGAGGAGTCCCCTGCAGGGAAGCCTAGTGGGTGGTGGCCCTGGCATCATCCTCAGCAAGCCCCCAGCCTAGCAGCCGGAGAAGCCCCGAAGGCCCAGTACACCCTCTAGGCTCCCCTCCTGCCCGCGTGCCTGCCTACCAGCATTGGCCAGATCTGCCCATGGATTCTCATCTAGTGACACCTGCGCTCTGGGGCCCTGCCCATCCCAGTGGCATCATGCTCAGTGTCAGGGTCTCCTGATGACAGCCAGTCCTGAGGGCTGCCTGCAGGGTGCTGCCCATGGGGACTTCATGGCCATGATGCACCAGCTGCTCCCCCTCCCTTCAGAGTTCCAAAGTCCTGGCGAAAAGGGAGCTGCTCTACGTGCCCCTCATCGGCTGGACATGGTACTTCCTGGAGATTGTGTTCTGCAAACGGAAGTGGGAGGAAGACCGGGACACCGTCATCAAAGGCCTGAAGTCCTTGGCTGACTACCCCGAATACATGTGGGTGAGTGAGGCGGCGGGGTAAGGCCACACAAGCTGTGTTACTTTGGGCATCAGGAAAGCAGCCCAGATTATTAGTTGTAAAGCCAACAAGAGCCTCTGAGCTCCAGGGAGGCTGTTTGAGTAGGACCACGGCCCTGCCCCATGCAACTGCAGGCTTGGGAACCCCTCTTAGGCCACCTGCTCCCACCTGCCCCAGGTGGGCCCCACACACCTGGGCCCACACAGAGGAGATCCTGCTGGGCTGAGTTTGGAGCACCCCTGGAATGTTAGCAGAGAGTCTGCCCAGGCTGTTCTGTGGAGTCAGGTGTCAGGACAAGCCCTCATGAGCCACAGTTCTGTGGGTCAACGTGGACTTCAATTCCTAGAAGGTTTGCACTGCACTTAAAGCAGTCACCCTTCAAGGGCAGAGCAGGGCCTGGGGGTCCTTTCTGAGCCCCTTGGTTGGAGTTTGATGGACAGACATCTGAAATGATCGATGTCTATCGGTTTGAAATCAGTTTTTTCTGATTCTTCTTTCTGGTCTCTGACGGCAATTCTTTGTGAACCAGCTGTTTATGTATTTGGTGTCTGTGACTCACATTGAGGCAAAGGGATGGAAAATTTTGTTTTCCACAAGCCATCCGGAGGCTGGTGCCTAGGGACACCGAGTCTGACTTCTCTCCAGGAAGTGTCTTTTCGCTCCCTGGGAATAGGCGCAGTGCTGCCACCACCTGTGAGGAGTCACGTACGGAATGTGACAGCAGCATCTCTAACCGGCCTTTGTCCCCCACCACGTCCTAGTTCCTCCTATACTGTGAGGGCACACGCTTCACGGAGAAGAAGCACCGCGTCAGCATGGAGGTGGCCGCCTCCAAGGGGCTGCCCGTCCTCAAGTACCACCTGCTGCCTCGGACCAAGGGCTTCACCACCGCGGTCCAGTGCCTCCGTGGGACAGGTAAGAGCTGCCCGCCCCGACCACCACCACCCCAGACTCCCAGCAAAGTGAGAGGTGAAATCAGTGATTTGCCAGAAACCAGATCAGTGAGTTCTGTGTAAAATACACAATGCCAGTGGCATTAAAAGGAGATCTGAGTTCGTGGATTCACATGTAAGATTCTTGTGTCATTTTTTGAGGTGATAAAATACTAGTTAATAGAAAGCAACTAAAGTGATCATTTTTAAAAAGTATATAACTGAAAACCTTATAAAGGAAAAAAATATATATCCAGTTAATCCAAAAGGACGGCAAAATCAAAGAAAGGGACAAAGCGCAGGCTGGATAGGAAACTGCCAGACAGTAGCTTTAAACACAAGTGACTCAACTAAATGCCCCAATAAGAGATGGGAACCCTCACAACGGGCATCCAGGTGAAGAGCCGCGGCTGGCCAAGCTGCCGGATGTCACCTGTCACCCTCTGCGCCCTCCCTGCAGTCGCAGCTGTGTACGACGTCACGCTGAATTTCCGAGGAAATAAGAACCCGTCTTTGCTGGGGATCCTCTATGGGAAGAAGTACGAGGCGGACATGTGCGTCAGGTGAGCTGCTGCCCACGGGGGCGGGGCCGGCAGGGGGCGGGACCGGACCAAGCCCACAAGCACCTTCTGTGCGGCTCCTCCGCTCTCCCGGACGCCCCCACGTGGAGGTGCTTCCAGGACCCGCACACGGTGGGGACCGTACAGAGCAAAGGAGGCAGCGCGAGGTGCAGCAGAAGGTTCCAGAAGCTGCAAGGGAGGCGTGACCCTGCCCGCTGGAGGGAGCAGAGGCGTTGGGGAAGAGGCTTTAGAGAGCTAAAGCCTGGGCAGTGAGTAGGCTTTTCATAGGCAGGAGAAGGACAAGCTGTCCCATCCTGAGCGGCCTGTTCATGTGGTCCCCTTTTCATGGTGTACAGCCATCTAGCCCACCTGGGAGTGATGGTGGGGTCAGGGCCATGTCCTCCGCCTACCTCTCCTGGCGACCGCGGGCTGAGTCGGCAGGTTGTATCCTAGCCAGCCTGAACCCCCTTGGCTTAGGGGCAGCCCAAACCGAGACACATCAAGCTGGGTAACACAGGGCTTCTTGGGATGGTGGGATCCATGTCTGTAACAAAAGATCAAAGTTGGGGACTTGAGTTGTGTTCCAAGGTCATTCCTGTCTCACAGCCACACTCTGACCTCCACATTTCTCTGCCCCAGGAAAAGAAGATAAACCACCCAAAAAGTCTGGTGGGGGTGGGGGGAAGGTTGACACAGTAGTGGCCACCAGGGGCTGGTGATTTTTCTGGGGCCGTGGCAGGTCCCAGTCCTCCTCAGGGAGCCCTCAAGGCAGATCTTGGTCTAGCCCCTGGGTAGTAAGGGGCTCCGGGCGTCCCAGGTGCCCATGGTCAGAGCCGGCAGGTGGTAAAGTGGTTGGTGGAGGGGGCACCTACCTGGTCCAGCTCCAGGCTGGTGCTCACCCCTGCCCCCAGCCTGCACCGCCCTCTGCGTGGACATTCAGCTGCAGTGGGAGAGGACTGGTGCTGTAATCTGCTCTTTTTCTCCTTTGTTGCAGAAAACGGGCTGTATTCTGTATCTTAATAGATATATTCTTAGAATTTTGGAAAGTTTCAACTTACTGCTTTGTATTATCTACCATTTGGGTGTTTGGGGCAAAAGCAATATTCCAGTGACTCCAGCACATACCTGTAATCAAACAAGTCAAGGTTCACATGACCCATTGGAGTTTTCCTTCACTTTCCTGTCCCCTACTGAAGAAGATGCCCCAGGGGCCTGTGGTTAGGCAGGGCCAGGGCCATGGGGATGGTGGCTTGAGGCTCTCCTGTGTCCATGCTGGCCCTTGGGGCCAGCATCCCCAAAGTGGCTTGAGTTGACTCTAGGAGATAGTATTCATATTTGTATTTATCTCATCATTTAAAATTCTTATATATTTCTTTTTTTTTTGTTTTACTCTGTCTAATCATATAGTATTGTTTTTTTGTGTGTTTTTTCTTTGTTTTTTTTTTCCGTTTTTTTTTTCCATTTATTTTTATTAGTTGGAGGCTAATTACTTTACATCATTGCAGTGGTTTTTGTCATACATTGAAATGAATTAGCCATGAATTTACATGTATTCCCCATCCCGGTCCCCCCTCCCACCTCCCTCTCCACCCGATCCCTCTGGGTCTTCCCAGTGCACCAGGCC